TCTGGTCTCCATCCCGTTTCAGTAGCAACGTTCTTAATCTGCACACATGTAAAAGGCTGCTGGCAGTAATAATCGGTTAAACGCAGATCGGCTTAATCTCCTCTTCAATGAATACTGTCGCAGTTGTAATGACAGGGAAAAGGATGAAACGGTCTTTCATCTTCTTGGGAATGCCCTGCTCCAGCCGCCAAGATATTTAGATTCCTTGGCAACCACTTCACATCCAACCTTTGTGAACTATCTGGATCAAAACTTAATGACCTGAGATTTCTCACTGCTACAGGCTAGATCTAATACTATATATATTACTACATCTGACGAGTGGTCTGTCAATCGGAGTTCTTTCGAGTCTACTTGACTGTAAGCGTGCAGCAAACTACGACGTTAACCAAACAACCAATTTAGTTCTTGAAAAATACAATTTTCGGACAGATAGAAAGAAAGTTTCGGTTTCATGAAGTTAAGATTGGTCACTGTTTTAATTGTTGACTCAGATAAGATTCTTCGCGGATCTTATTAGCGAAAAACAAATGTTTTTTCCGGTACAATTCGACTGCATACACATATGTATACCATGTTATGCCTAATCTACAACCAATGGAATGAATGTAATCAAATATTTAAGATACTTTCAATTAAATTTAAATATTTGCAGAGATTTTATAAAATGTCACTGTTGGGTCTGTTCTTATTTTCCCCCATTTTGTATTTGCTTAGTTAAACAGTCTGCCATAAAAATAAATTATAAACAAGGAGTATCTAAAGATCATATACTAATTGCCAACTCGTGCTCGTTAATGTCGTTTTTCCATTTTCCATTTTCATTGTCTTAAAAACCAGCATATTTCTGTGAGATTTGTTTTTTCTCCTCTTACGCTAAAGAGAAGGAAGAAGAAAATACATTATTTATCACTTCTCACTTTCGTTAGATTTCCGCTTTATAGTTTTTATACCCACCATCAAAAAAGATGGGGGGTATATTGATTTTGTCATTCCGTTTGTAACACATCGAAATATTGGTCATAGACCCACAAAAGTATATATATTCTGGGTCCTCATTAAATTCTAAGACGATCTAGCCATGTCTGTCCGTCTGTCCGTCCGTCCGTCCGTCTGTCTGTCTGTTGAAAGCACGATAGAGTCCGAATGGAAAGAGCTAGAGGGTTGAAATTTCACATAAGTATTTCTTATAGGTAAAGTTTGTTTGGTATTGAAAATGGGCAATATCGGTCCACGTTTTCGGATAGCCCCCATACAAGTGGCCCCTCGAAAAGCAGCTTTAACAGCCATAACTTGTTTAAAAATACGAATATAGCGATGAAATTCGACATAAGTAAGTTTCTTGTTATCCAAAATCACTATGCAAAATTTTATGAGGATCGGTCCATAATTGACCCTACCCCCCATATAAGGTCCCCTTCAGAAAATGACTTTAACGCTCAATACTGGCTTAAAAATACTAGTATATAGATGAAATTCGATATAAGTAAGTTTCATACGAGTCAAAAATCTATCTAAAAAATTTTATAAGGATCGGTATATGATTGACCCTACCCCCCATATAAGGTCCCCTTCAGAAAATAACTGCAATGCTCATTAATGACTTAAAAATACGAGTGTAGCGATAAAATTCGACACAAATAAATTTGATACGAACCAAATTCTATCTACAAAATTTTATGAGGATCGACCCATTATTGACTCTACTCCCCTATTTAAGGTCCCCTTCAGAAAATTACTTTAACGCTTATAACTGGCCTAAAAAGTATATAGATGATGGTGGGTATATAAGATTCGGCATAGCCGAATATAACACTGTTCGTTTTAATTTAAACATTTTTGTGTTTTACAACAACAACAAAAAACAAAAAAGACACCGTCCAATGTTTCTTGTGTTACGTGCAACACAATAAAATCATTACAAGATGTAAACATACATCCTACATTGTCATCGTCACCATCACTTTCACAGACAGAACATCATCTCCTGATGATGATTTGAACATTTATTGGTGACTTTTGGTTTGTTTGTTTGAATGTGTAGTTAAAATGTACAATAACAACAACAATTTCTTTGTTTATAACATTTTTCAAACTCTCAACTTTGCTGCACCTTTTGTTTATTCTATTTAATTTCTTCAGCCATTTGACAATGTTTAAATGCCGTTTTACTTGTTAGAATTTCTAAATTAAATAAAGGAATTGTGTGGTGGAGTGGTACAGTAGTAAGAACACATAGCCAAACAGGAAACCCATCCATCTACAGAGTCACATGTAAAATTGGTAAATTTTAAAAGATGCATTTCATTGTTCTTTGTATGTATTAGCTGTTGTTTATTTTGCCTCTTTTATACTCAGGGGGTTGGTTCGAACAGGTTTAAGTTTGAGTTGTATGATGTTTGATTATCGTTTAAAATTAAAGTTTAATCGAGGATTTACTCTACGATAAAACTTGTTTGCAAAAAGGATTCTTAAAATTGCCAATGCGTGTGTGTCATGATCCTTTTTCGAAAACACCAAGAAAAAAGTAATTTAGATATTCTGGATCAACTAAGTTCCGAATTAATGTGTCTCCTATTCTTCAGCCTGGAACTGCAGGCCTGCCAGATTTGCCGATTTATCGGCATTTTGCCGATATTTTACCATCAAAATAGTAAAGTGCCGATTTCCCGATTTTTGCTTAAAAAATGCCGATTTTTTACCCAATCGAACAAATTAACGAATTTATTATAACTTTACATAAGCAAAAATTACATGGAGCTTTTAAAACAATTGGGAAAGGAAAATTTACAGTACGGTAGAACACAATTTGCTCCATCACCAATGTCAATTGGATCGATTATGAAAAGGAAACACAATTTATGTATGAAAATCCTGAATAGGTTCTAAAAGTCTGATCTAAGGGTGCTAAAATTTTTAAGAAATTTTTTATGGTTCGAAAATAAATTTACACATTTTTGTGGAAAAGTTAAAAAATTTGGAGAAAATTTCCCATTATAAAAATGTACTCAGCAAAATCTTTACCTATCCGATTTTTGTTCGACGATAACCAATAACAAATGTGATAACCCCACTTTCCTGGATTTAAAATCGGCTTTGCAGTAATTTTCTGTGTTTATTAGTCTATTTTATTTGATCGTGCAATTTGGAATTTAAAAAACAATATTTAAAAAAAAAAACTTCTAATATTGACTAGGATTAGAATCATTAACTAATTCCATATTAGACACACGCTCTAGGCAATTGGTTACAAATCCTATTGTAAAAATTAATTAATATTGTTGATAACGATCACTCATTGTCAAGTGATGTATGAAATAACTACATCATGTATGTATGATGTATGAAATAACTACCTACATCACTCATAACCAAAATTTGAAATTTTTTACAGGGTAAATATATAGTAATCCACATTTACATTTTTCTGCAAAAGTGATACAAATTCTAATAGATTTTATTCCAGTAAACCAAAGTTTCGGTGTACCCTTACAAAGAGTTCTTTTATTAGACCTATTCTGAATAAAATTTCCCTGAGTTATGCATGTATGTAAAAAATATTGTGATTTTTGAATTTATTTGTGTTATGTTTCTTTGGTACAAAATAGTGTTTCTTTCAATTGTCGATTTATTGCCGATAAATGCCGATTTTTTGGGAAAAAATTGCCGATATTTCTACAAATTTATCTGGAGCCTGTGGAACGGTAGAATGAGAAAGGGGTGAGCGAACGGGGAAGAGGGAGGAAAGGCAAGGAAGAAGGCAAGGCGAGCGGACCAGGGGGAGAGGAAAATAAGGCAAAGAACGAACGAACGAAGGAACGGACGAACGCGCGAACGAACGAACGAACGAACGAACGAAGAACGAACGAACGAACGAACGAACGAACGAACGAACGAACGAACGAACGAACGAACGAGAACGAACGAAACGAACGAACGAACGAACAACGAACGAACGAACGAACGAACGAACGACGAACGAACAACGAACGAACGAACGAACGAACGAACGAACGAACGAACGAACGAACGAGAACGAACGAACGAACGAACGAACGAAACGAACGAACGAACGAACGAACGAACGAACAACGAACGAACGAACGAACGAACAAGAACGAACGAACGAACGAACGAACGAACGAACGAACGAAGAACGAACGAACGAACGAACGAAACGAACGAACGAAACGAACGAACGAACGAACGAACAACGAACGAACGAACGAACGAACGAACGAACGAACGAAAAACGAACGAACGAACGAACGAACGAACGAACGAACGAACGAAAGAACGAAAAACTAAACTAACTAACGAACGAACGAACTAACTAACTAACGAAACTAACAACTAACGAACAAGAACTAACTAACTAACTAACAACAACAACTAACTAACTAACTAACTAACTAACTAACTAACTAACTAACAAAACTAACTAACTAACTAACTAACTAACTAACTAACTAACTAACGTAACTAACTAATACTAACTAACTAACTAACTAACTAACTAACTACGAATTTGCAAGTTTTCTTATTGGATAATGCTGTCGTTCGAATTATCAAGAAACGATCTACAACTTAAGGTAAATTACATTCGTGAGTCCTAAATTGGCCAACCAGAATAACAACACATACAGCGAAGTCAACCGGATGAAAATTAATGAAATTGTACGAAATTGAAATATGCCAAATAAAGACAACTTTTTAGATTTGCGATTATGTACTTTGGTTCAGTAATGATTACAGAATTGGAGTTTCCAATTCACCACAAAATAAACAGTTTATCTCACTTATGGCAACCCCTTATTTTATCTAGTTCACAGTTCGATTTGCAACAAGTACTCTCATACCAACATGTTCTGCCATACAACATCGAACCTCATACCAATTTATTTGGGGGGACAAACAACAATTTCAAAACAAACTCACACATTCGGTGTTTAGCGTTTGAACGGAGTGCAACGTGTGCGCGCGAGTGTTGTAAATGAAAAATAAGTTTGTTTTTTATAAGCAAAAATCAAAATAAATATAAAAAAAGAATTTATTATAAATACAAATGAAATTCAATAAAAAATAAACGTGTGTGAGTTTCTAAAACCCCTTTTTTGCGACAAAAGATAAAATTGGTGAAGAGCATGAAAAGAAATTAAATAAAGAAAATTGATTGAAAATAAAAGCAAAATAAAAAAAGTTAAATAAATATTTAACACCAGAGATAACAACAAATAAAGGCAATGTTAAATAAAATAGTTATTCTTACCATTAAAATAAAATAAGAAAAATTTTGTACTAAAATATTTGTGTGAAAACGTTAAGTGAAACAGTTAATAAAAGTGAAAGAAAGAGATTGCTTAAAGAGAGATAGAAAGAAAACTAATTGAATTTTAATTAATACATTTTTAATAAATGTAACAATATTTTGGATAAATTCGCACGTTTGACTACGCAAATTTCAAGTGACAGTTTGTTACAGCAGCAGACAACGAACGACGTTATTAAATTTGATTACTCTACAGCAGCAACAAGAACATCCAGAATAACAACAAAGTAAATATTTAAGAAAAAAATATCTAGTGCATCTTTTCTACTCCTCTTTTTGTGTTTGGAAAGTAAAATAAAACAACAACAAATTACCGTACAACAACAACTTTAAGTAAGTGCTGTTGCATGATGGTCTTTTTTTTTCAACATTTTTAAAAATAAGGAGTGTGTGTGCGAGTGATTGTTTGTAGGGCTCCACTTACAACAACAACTTCACGACTTGGATTGGATCAAGCTGAAGATGAGAGTTGTTGTATTCTTGTAGAGTTTGTGTGTGTTTTCGTTGTTTTTGTTTTTGATTTTGTTTATTTTATCTGATTACGAACAAGATTTATTTCTTGTTCGATACTTTTTTTGCTGTATCTTTTTATTATATTTTTTCCTCTTTATTGTTGAGTTGTTTTTGTATTTATATTTAATAATATTCCTTTTAGTTGTTGTGCATTTATGTTGTGTTGTTGCTATTTTTTTTTATTTTGTTGTATGTGTTTGATTTTGTGTTTAACATAAACCTGTTTTTACGTTTTTTATTCTTGTTATTTTGCTGCTTGTGTTTTTCTTGTTGTTTGTTTTTATTGTTGTAATACAGTGGTGCACTCGATTATAATTTTAATACTCTCCTCTTGATTCTTGGGAATAATTACACTCTCATCTCTGCTGATATTCTTTTTGTAATAGTTTATTTTAAATTGTAACTTCTACGTTTGTATGGGTGTGTTTATTTTTTTTAGATTTTCTTATGGTTACAACAAACAAGATCATTAATTTACAAGATACAATAATGCTAATGTTGCGTTTAAAATAGTAGATAGGAAAAATTTTTATATAATTAAGAGGCCAAGTGACCGTACGGGAATCTCTCGCCCATATTTTATTTAGCCCTCATTGAGCCGAATTTTTCTGCATTTGTCAAGTTAATTCCCGCAAACTCTTTTCCCTTCATAGGTATCAAGCACCTCTATGTACCTACATTCGCTTCTTCATTTTCAATTAACCTTGATAGGCCTGTTACCCATATAATGCAGAGCTTACCACTGGTTATCTGCCAATTGTGTCCTAATTACCTTATAGTTGTCGGAAAATGTCGGAAATTATGTTATACGTCATACCTATTCATTCTAATCCATTTTAAACGGCCTTCCGCCTGAAAGCTAGTGTTGTGATTAGGAAGATATTAGTAGGTATACCTATATCGGTTTGCGGATTTCCATTGCAGATTCCCAGGCCCGTTTTGTCTCCTAGTTTTACAACAAATTTGCGCAGGTATTTGCTCTAAGGTTCCACTTAACCACGATCTCCTATATGGAACCAATATTCTCAACAAATTCTTTTTTCGGTATGCGATAATACCTGTTGTTTGTGTAACATTTTGTCAATTTGGTTAAAGATAAGAGGCGCTTGGCTGTGAGCAAATAAATGTCGTAGTTTTCCTATATTGAGCAGCGCTAGAGCAGTTGTGGGGTCCATTTTCTACCCATACATAAGTTTTATCACTATAGGACCTGACATAGTTTAGTTTTAACAAATTTGTATCGACCTACAAGTAATAATTTTTGAATCATTCTAAATTGATAATGACCAAGCATTGCCGACATTAATCCTCTTGCGCCCATGAATGATGAAAACTGGACTAGACCATAAAAGATATGTATCTTAGTCTGAAACAGTCTTGCCAAATTGACAAATCTGACGTTTTTGAAATGACAATTGCGAAAAAAAATCCGGTTAGCGAGAAATTTGGAGAATTTTAACCAGTGTTTGGGGATTTCTGGAAAATTTCGCAATATTTTAAGATTTTAGAATTATAGTCCAGTCTATAGTCAATTCTAATTTGGAGAATTTTATCCAGCGTTTGGGGATTTCTGTAAAATTTCCGATATTTCATTTATAGTCTAGTCTATAGTCAATTTTATCATCTAGTCTAGCCTATAGACCAGTCTATAGTCTAGTTTACCGTCTAGTGCATAGCAAATTATATAGTCTAGTCTATAATCTAGTATATAGTCTAGTCTATAGTTTAGTCTATAGACTAATCTACCGTCTGGTCTTTAGTCTAGTTTATAGTCTAGTTTATAATCTTGTTTATGGTCTAGACTATAGTCTAGTCTAAAGTCTAATTTATAGTTTAGTTTATAGTCAAGTCTATAGAATAGTCTGCCTGTAGTCTAGTCTATAATTTAGTCTATAGTCTAATGTGAATTCTAGTCTGGTCTATAGTCTAGTTTTACTCTGTCTAAAATTTCCCGATATTTTAGGATTATAGAATTATAGTCCAGTCTATAGTTAATTCTATCGTTTAGTCTAGCCTATAGACCAGTCTATAGTTTAGTCCACAGTCTAATATATAGTCAAGTCAAGTCTAGTACATAGTCTAGTATATAGTCTAATCTTTAGTTGTGTCTATATTTTAATCTACCGTCTGGTTTATAGTCTTGTTTATAGTCAAGTTTACAGTCTAGTCCAATGTTTAATCTATAGTCTAGTCTATAGTCTTGTCTGTAGTCTAGTCTATTAATTAGTCTATAATCTAATGTAAATTCAAGTCTGACCTATACTCTAGTCTGGAGTCAATTCAAAAGTCTAGTCTATATTCTAGTTTATGGTCTAGTCTTTATACCAGTTTATAGTCTAGTACATATATAGTCTAGTGACTAGACTCTAGTCTATAGCTTAATATAAAGTCTAGTCTATAGTCAGGACTATAGTTTATGGTCTTATAGTTGAGATTCAATAGTCTTAATTTTTTATAAAATTTATTAAAATTTTGTATTTATTTGGTTAATTGCTAAATTTCATGCCAGATTCATAGAAGTATTGGGCAGATTCTTCTTTATCTAAACACTTTCTGTGTTATGTACATAGTTGACAGCACTGTTTCTTAAGACAAAAAGCTCTGCTAAAAAGTATACTTTTTCTACTCTTGCTATTAGAAGTAGTTAGCTAAAGTTTGAGCTGCTGCGGATTTTATAGCTTGTTGTCTAAGAAAAACAAATGTATGAATTTTTCTAATGGTTTATTTTAATTTTATTTGTCTTCTATTACTTTCATTGTTTTTGTTGTTGTCGTTTTTTGTCTGCTGCTATTGCTATTTTATGTTAAGTACGTTGTAGCTGTTTGTGTGCTGGCGGAAAAACAAGTTTTCAGCAAAAACAACTCTGAACCACAACAACAGTCAGCTGTACTACTTACTCTTGGATACCATTTTACTTTAAAAGATTTTAAAGTTTAGTTTTTAAACAAACACAACAACAGAAAACAAACAAAGAAAATATTTTGTAAAAAAAAATTGATGGTTTAAAGTTCAAGTGATGTTCAGCTAACAAGTTGTTATGTATTTGTTGTTATTGTACAATAACAAACAAATCATCGAAAAATAAATAAAAATACAACAATGTTTTTGGCAAATATTATTCTGAAGAATTGAAAACTTATTTTATTTAAATTTAAATGGAAAAAAATATAAATTTCAATTAATTCAGAGAAGAAAATGTTTGGAATTTAAATTGAAAGATCAATTTACTTAACTTCTTAAGAAGTTAGAGCAATTATTGAAGTAGAATTTTCATTGCAGTCAATTAAAATTGTAATTGATTGATAGATATACAAATATTTGTATAGAAATAAAATGTTGAGAGAAGAAGATTTATGAAAATTATGCTAAATAATTTAAAATAAAGAAATTTAAAATTGCATTAAAATTTACTTTAAAAAAATCAAAAATACATTCATATTTATTCTTCAAAAGTTTTACTAATATAATTTAAACAAATAGTGAGTATTTTTAAACTGACACATAATTTTTTATAATAAATTACTACAGCCCCAGAATTAACCCAGTAATCTGTCATTTTTTTCAAAAAATTCTTTTTTTCTTTTCGCCTTAAAAATACGTGACAATTTCAGTTTACAATAAAATTTGAAAAAAAAAAAATTTTTTTCTAATAAGAAAATAAAAGTGAAATGGTCTTCAAAGAATTTTTAAATTAGCAAGAGTTTTTCTAAATTTTAAATCAAAAATAAAAATAAATATGATAAAAATGAGAACACAGAAATAAAATTAAAAAAAAAAACAATACATATTGGCAGCAAAAAAATTTATAAATATAAAGAGAGAATAAATAAACAAAAAACCACACACCAATATCATCATCGAATCAACAGCAACAAACACAACTTGTCAATGAATGTTGTTGTTAATAATGATGATGACGATCATCATTATAATGAAATTTAACAAAAATTGTATAGATTTTGTATAAAATGTGAAAGTTTCAAAAAAAAAAAAAAACTAGAAATACAAATATTTTGTTTTTGGCACAAACTACATACTACGATACAATTTACACCATTTATACAAAAAGAGAGAATTTTAAAATTCAATAATCGTTCTTGTAGTTAATTCTTAGTTGTAGAATGTAAAGTATGTAATTTTAAATTAGTTCCATTTGATTGCAAAGTAAAAGTATTGCTGGTATTTTACCTAAAAATCGGTTTTCATACAATATAAACATTGATAAATCAGTCTGGACTATAGAATAATCGATTGTCTGGACTATTGAATAGTCTATGGTTTGGACTCTATAATAGTCTATAGTGTGGATTATTAAATAGTCCATAGTCTATAGACTATAGAATAGTCTATAGTGTGGATTATAAAATAGTCTATAGTCTGGACTATAGAATAATCTACAATCTGGACTATAGAATAGTCTATAGTGTGGACTATAGAATAGACTATAGTCTAGACTATAGAATAGTCTATAGTGTGGACTATAGAATAGTATATAGTCTGGACTATAGAATAATCTATAGTCTAGACTACGGAATAGTGTATAGTCTGTACTATAGAATAGTCTATAGTCTAGACTGTAGCATAGTCTATAGTCTAGACTATAGCATAGTCTATAGTCTAGACTATAGCATAGTCTATAGTCTAGACTATAGCATAGTCTATAGTCTAGACTATAGCATAGTCTATAGTCTGGACTATAGATTAGATAGTCTGGACTATAGAGTAGTCTGCAGTTTATAGTTTGGACTATAAAATAGTTAATAGGCTGGATGGAAGGACCGGACATCAGACTGTTCTATAGTCTGGACTATAGAATATTTAGTCTAGTCTGGACTATAGAATAATTTATAACTTGGACTATAGAATAGTCTAGGTAGGACTATAGAATAATCCATAGTATGGACTATTCTATAGTCCTATGGACTATTGAATAGTCTTATGTCTGGACTACAGAGTATGGACTATATAGTCTGGACTAAAGAACAGTCTATAGTCTGGACTATAGAACAGTCTATAGTCTGGACTATAGAACAGTCTATAGTCTGGACTATAGAACAGTCTATAGTCTGGACTATAGAACAGTCCATAGTCTGGACTATAGAGTCTATAGTATGGACTATAGACCAGTCTATAGTCTGGACTATATAATAGTCTATAGTCAGAACTATCGAATAGTCTATAGTCTGGACTATATAATAGTCTATAGTCAGAACTATAGAATAGTCTATAGTCTGGACTATAGAACAGTCTATAATCTGAACGATAGAATAGTCTACATTCTGGACTATGGAGCAGTCTATAGTCTGGACTATAGAACAGTGTATAGTCTGGACTATAGAGCAGCCTATACTCTGGACTATAGAACAGTCTATAGTCTGGACTATAGAGCACTCTATAGTCTGGACTATAGAATAGTCTATAGTCTGTAGTATAGAACTATCTATAGTCTGGACTATAGAACAGTCTATAGTCTGTAGTATAGAACTGTTTATAGTCTGGACTATAGAACTGTCTATAGTCTGGACTGTAGAACTGTCTATAGTCTGGACTATAGAACTGTCTATAGTCTGGACTATAGAACTGTCTATAGTCTGGACTATAGAACTGTCTATAGTCTGGACTATAGAACTGTCTATAGTCTGGACTATAGAACTGTCTATAGTCTGGACTATAGAATAGTCTATAGTCTGGACTATAGAATAGTCTATAGTCTGGACTATAGAATAGTCTATAGTCTGGACTATAGAACAGTCTATAGTCTGGACTATAGAATAGTCTATAGTCTGGACTTTAGAACAGTCTATAGTCTGGCCTATAGAACAGTCTATAGTCTGGACTATAGAACAGTCTATAGTCTGGACTATAGAACAGTCTATAGTCTGGACTATAGAACAGTCTATAGTCTGGACTATAGAACAGTCTATAGTCTGGACTATGGAACAGTCTATAGTCTGGACTATAGAACAGTCTATAGTCTGGTCTATAGAACTGTCTATAGTCTGGACTATAGAACAGTCTATAGTCTGAACTATAGAACAGTCTATAGTCTGAACTATAGAACAGTCTATAGTCTGAACTATAGAACAGTCTATAGTCTGGACTATAGAACAGGCCGTAGAAATTTTCAGAAAATAATTGCTTACTAAAATTTTATTAATAATTATTTTATAGGAAATTATTAATACTAATTATATTTTTTTTTTTTTTTTTTTTTACAGCATAAACAACTTATAACATATTTTTTTAAATCTGCCAGCAAAAAATTGCAATTAAATTAAATAGTAATAAAGAAATCAAATACTAAACATAACATAAATCAAAAAAAAAAAAAGAATACTGAATTTCTTAAAAATAACGCTCTGCAAAAAATATCATTAAATTATTAAAAGAAAACCAAAAAAACCTCACATGTTTTTCATACGTATTTATCATAAGGTGGGGTTTGGCGTTTTAAAATAAATAAATATAAAATAATAAAAAAATAAGTGCCAATTAGCAAGCCAAAACAAGTGTTAAAGTAAAATTGCAAAGATATTTTCACAAAAAGAAAAAAATGTTTTAATTTTTAAATAACAATAACAAACAATAAAACTTCCAACAACTGCCAGAGCTGTTAATTTTAAACAGCAAAATTAGTTATAAATAAAATTTTCTTTAAAACCCCCCTCTGTTTCAATATTTGTTTCAAAAATAGGCAAAAAAGTGCAATTATTTCAAAATTTCTATCTAAATAGTCCACTGGTCAAAATGGGCTTCTCGTCGGCCCTACAGGGCCGTGCTGCCCACGAGGCGTTAGTTGTACGACAAGATGCCGAACTGCGTTTAATGGAAATTATGAAACGTACCATGCAACTGAAGGCGAAAAACGACAAAGAATATGCCATCGGTTTGGCCGCTGTAGCACAGCAGGGTTTGAAAATCGATCGGGCTGATGAAATGCAAGGTAAGTTGATTGAATTTCAATTTTTTTTAAATGATTTTTTATATATCCTATAACACTATATTGAAGAAAGTAAG